ACTCAGCAAATATTGTCTATTTGATCACATGCACCAAATGCAAGAAGCAATAATATGTAGGATGTACTACCCAAAAACTGATGGTCAGAATCAACCACCATCGAACAAGCATCAACTCAAGAATACCCACGTACATACATAAACATTTTAATCTACCCGATCACTCCATCACAAACTTAAAGCAGTGTTTCCCGCAGCATTATAAGAACTGGGCACTCCGCCCGGATTGAAAAATCCAGAAAATGGGCGTGTACAATCATTGCGCATGCAGGGTGCTTATGAATTATTAATTACCCCAGTTTTCAGGCTGAAAAATATTACTTGGTACTCATGGTTCAAAGCACTTCCTGTTGGGAAATCCCCTACTGGCCTAAAGTCTTTCAAGTGCTTCTCTATAAGCAGCATATTACTGTGCACAGTGTAAACCACGCTAGTTGCATTTTACGTGTTTGAATATTACCCTGCGGGAAACACTGTAAAGGTACAACCGATCGACAGACCATGCACACCCCAACCATCACCTACAGAACTTCAACACCTTGAAAGTTTCTGGATAAAAACACTCCGAACATTAACACCATGCGGTCTTAACAGCCTGTCTTAGACTGGTGTTATATTTTGTTCAGGTAATTTGCACCTTAACACTGATTCCTAAGTAGGATAACGAAGGTAGGGGGCCAGGCCTTACCCACAGTGGTGGGGGGCTGCCCCCTCCCCACTGATGTGGTTTTTTTACACACACACACACACTCTCACTCTAATTAATAACATGGGAAGTTTTGACTTTAGTAGACATAACATCCACAACAAGGTATAAAACAGCCATGCTTGCCTGTAGTAGCTCAGTTAGGAGCAAGAGTGAAGAAAGAAAGAAGTGAAGAATAGAGAAGACCAAAGAAATGAAGCCAGTTATTACTAAGGATACGTAGCTGCTATACTAAAATTGCCTTTATGTTATGTAGGTTAGTTTGTAAGTACAATAATTGTAGCCATGTAGTAGACAAATCTGGACTCCAACCAGGTGGAGTGGCCTCCCCCTTTCTGGAATATCTCACGTGTTGGGAGTTTAAAGAGGCCGAAACACGTGTGACATGGTGAGGGATTGGGACCTCCCCTGATGACCAGTAGCAAAGAGCCTAGCACCGACTACACTCATTGTGTCTAGCAATGCATACATAGCTCTCATTTTCTCCTCAAGCAAATAAACAACAAATTGTAGTCTCACGGGAGCGAGGGACTATCGCCGAGCTCGAGGCCGCACGACGCTGCGTAACCCCTCCTAATCAGGGAGAGATTACTAATTAGTGAGACCTTCCAGGGCCGAGATAGGAATCACCTGGTTCTGCAGGTTTAGGTCAGCTCCAGCTCTGACCAGCTCCTTCAGGACTGACAGATTGTACTTTGTGGTAGCAATTATCACAGCTGAGTCTCCTTCCTATAGACAAGAGAACAAAGCTGACACTTAACACTACTGGCATGGGAGCTCATTTTACCTTATTCTGTAGGTCAATGCTTGCTCCAGCCTCTATTAGCAGTGAAACAACTTCAGTCCTACCCCACCTTACAGCCTCCATCAGTGCAGAGTCTCCATACTGTGTGAGAGTAGTGACACACTATGACATCATCACACACAAGATAACCACTAAGTAATAGTTATAACACACTTAGCTAAGTTTAAGCAAAGTTAGCGAAGTGTCTTGTAAGTATTTCATTTCTGGTCACATGACTTCTTCATGGACCAGGGGCACCCTTCCTGTCCTGCCAGTTCGACCTCGAGAGCTCTGTAGTCTGTAGAGCCTTGGGTGTGCCTGTAAACTGCTGTAGTAATGTCTGTTACGAATGCCTTACGTTAGTTTGCGCGGTGTTGCAAGTTGTGGAGAAGAGACAGTTTGCCAGTTGTGTTGTGGCCAAGCTCTATGCACCGCCTGTGTCGAAAGACGCCTACAATGTGAGTGCCGACGTTATCTGCCTTCTCAGTAAGTCACGTAGCACAGTAGACCTCCCTCCAGACAACGTGGACATGTATAGGCGATTGAGCGTCAAAGCACAGCAAACCTGTCAGCAGAAGTGTGCACTATCTGGTTATTGGACACTTAAGTGTACATTATGTGATTTCATGCACACTTTTCCACGCATCTGATTGGTCAGAAGTCATGTGACCAGTAATAAGGTGTGATATTGTTATGTCGATATCCTTCATGTGAACTATGGGGTAGAAAGGCAAAGGCACAACAAACAAGTCAACTAAACCCAGGACAGATCTTTATATCAAGAAGAGCTGCCCTAAGTTGGATTCAAACCCACGACACTCTGCAGTCTAGGCGAGCACTCTACCAGCTGAGCTACCAGGGCACTCAGCCGGTAGGGGTTCAAATCTTCAACACAAGGGGAAAAATCATTTCTTCAAAAGATATAGGGATGACTCAAAACATGAATAAGTAAGAAACAAGGGGTCATTTCACAGCTAAGACACACAAAGCTACATGATACCATCCCTATATCTTTGATATTATTTTGCATATGAATCAATAGGACAAAGATATAGGGATGGTATCATGTAGCATTGTGTGTGTTAGCTGTGAAATGACCCCTCGTTTCTTACATTTTCATGTTTTGAGCCATCCCCATATCCCCCTTCAAATGATTTTTCCACTTGTTTCCCATTCTTATGAAAAGCTCAGACAAATCAGCGCAGAGGCTCAAAATTGTTGTAGCTAGCTAGATACTCACTGTGTCCAGCAATGCATACATAGCTCTCATAAAGTTTCTCCTCAAGCAAACAACAGATCGTAGTCTCACGGGAGCGAGGGACTACCGCTGCCGCACGATGCTGCGCATGCACGGGTACGCGCGCACATCAGTAGCAGGAAACGCCCCTCTGAACTGCTGACTGCTGAGTTCGCAGCAAATTGCGTCGTTCAGTGCCACTATGGAAGAGCTCCACGATCTGCTGTAGCGATGTGCAACAACAAAGAAACGATTGCTTGGTGTCCGTGCACACCTCTGGCAAATCTGGAGACGTTCAGTGAAAAAATCATCGCTTGAACTGGTTCTGGTATGGAGATACCAGTTCAAGATAGAGCTTGAACTGGTTCCGGTATGGAAAGCAAGAAGAGAGAAAATCACGACACGCAACAGAATGAGTATTAAGAATTTTCTTTAAACTTTAGTTCCACCCTTATCATCAGTGCATAGTCTCCTCTCTGTGTTATGACAGCATACATATCCAGTAATGCCACTGTACAATCCTGGGTGGTTTGGTCTAGGGGCTAGGCCCATGCGAATCGGGCATTGTAATATTAAACGCGTTTTTGTTTTGGTGCGTATTTCATACCTACACATTTCATATCACCTACATTACGGTATGTGTGTCCGTATATAATACATACAATGTACACCAACTTCAATGCTCTCTACCTAGGACACTGCAGAAAAGGACACCTTTTACACCTCAAAGCACACATTAATCCACCACAAACCACAGTATATACATACACTGACATAATTGCCATGCTTTCGCCTACTAGTATTACTTCATTCCGTAGGTAAATTTTAGCTCCAGCCTCTAGTAGAAGTGAAACAGTGTCAGTCCTGCAACACCTGGCAGCCAACATCAGTGCAGAGTCTCCATGCTGTGTGAGGAGAGATATGATACTGATTCCCAAAACCACACCTCCTCATACACATAATACCCTGGCATTACATTACCTCATTCTGTATATCAACGTAAGCTCCAGCCTCAAGTAGCAGTGAAACAACTTCAGTTCTACTCTCCTTGGCAGCCAACATCAGTGCAGAGGCTCCAGCCTGTGTGAGGAGGGACATGATACTGATTCCCAAACCACACCTCCTCATACACATAATACCCTGGCATTACATTACCTCATTCTGTAGATCAACTTTAGCTCCAGCCTCAAGTAGCAGTGAAACAACTTCAGTCCTGGCAGCCAACATCAGTGCAGAGTCTCCAACCTGTGTGAGGAGAGACATGATACCGATTACTAAAACAACACCGCCTCATACACATAATACCCTGGCATTACATTACCTCATTCTGTAGACCAACTTTAGCTCCAGCCTCAAGTAGCAGTGAAACAACTTCAGTCCTGCCCTCCCAGGCAGCCAACATTAGTGCAGAGTATCCAAGCTGTGTGATGTGACAGACATGTTTAGTGAGTGAATGGTTCATCACACACTAGACTGTCATTACATGTTACAGAATGTGATAATTATGTCGCAAAGATAGCTTCAATGCTCTCTACCCAAACCCCTTTATAGGACCCTCTTTCACTTCTCAATACACCACAGTAGAACCACCACAGTTCTTACTACAAAACCTACTCATTAAACATACATGTATGTACTAGTTCAAACACTGCTGCGAGTATAGTCGAGACCACAATAACTTCCGTGCGTAACAGTGTCCCATATCTGGAGACCTTAAGTTTATTCCTGCTACTTTTCAAGTGTTTACCTGGCTCTTCTGGCGTGAAAATTCAAAACAGTTTTATATTTTTCGGCGGTGCCTTTGATACGCCTACACATCGTACCACAAACTAACATAATTCCGTAGGTCAATGTTTAGCTCCAGCCACTAGTAGCAGTGAAACAACTTCAGTCCTACCCTCCCTGGCAGCCTCCATCAGTGCAGAGTCTCCATCCTGTGTGATGTGTAGTGAGACACTTAGAACTAATGATCAGTTGTTATCTTTTCTCACTATCATCACAACACTTGGCTGTGTATTCTAGATCTCTACCTAGCTGGATACTTCAAAAAGACAACACTTTCCCACTCCTCATAATACCACAGTATAGAACCACAACACTTCATTAGAGAGTCGGTAGAAATCTAGTCGGGTGAAATATCACGTGATCCGCGTACAAAACGACAAAAA